TCCATGGTTCCCCTGAATTGCCACTCTTGGTCACAACCTGGCTGCAGCAGCACATGCTGAGACAACAGTTTCCAGAGCACAAGGGAATACTCTCTATTATCAATGAGAAAACCTTTCCTATAAGTCCCTAAGCAGGCTTCCCCTCAAATCTCGTTGTCCATCCCTAGTACCGTCACTACCAATGGGGAGCAGGGTGTCCTGAAGTGGCTCGGCCTATGGTAACTTATTCCCCACTTCCCACAGAGGGAGCACATTGTCATTCAAACAAAACACTGCCCTGTTAGCAGAGAAGGAAAGAAGTGGGGACAGCTACTGGGGAGGCGACCAACACCATCCACCTCTATTAAGAAGCACTCGCTGCAGGTGTGGAGCATTTGGGTCCTTGGTTTGATTTCACTCTACCGTTGGGCTGACCTTGTTTTGAAACTCCAGTTCCATTCACCTGGGGCCTGAGCTTTTCTACCTAGAATGGACTCTCCGATCATTTAAAGCTAAAGAAGAACCAAATAGGACCATGTAACCACCCAAACAATTAGAAAAGAAGACGACTCTGTCTTTCATCCTCTCAAGCGACATCACAACCTCAGAGCTCCAGAGCTGGACCCCAGGTCCTGTCTCCTGGATCACGGGTTCTGTTCCTGGGCCCTGGTCTGCTCTCCCTCGGCAGAGCTCTCTGGATCGCCTTCCTCTGCACTTTCCTACTCTGCTTCCAGGGGTGCCCGGGGCCTTTGGTTTCACTTCTCTCTCCGTTTCTTTGGCCCCTGGGTTTCCTCTTCCCCCACCCTGTCTCTAACTGCTCCTGATATTGACGAATTCCCGGTACAATCTGTTGTTTCCTCCGATTTGTTCCCATGTTCATTATTCTTACATTGGAAAGCAGATGAGTTAGATGCTTGTGCCCTGCCCTTGGAGAAAACGCTTTCTGGAAATTGAGCTAAACTAAGTGATACCCAAGAACACAGCCTTCCCGTTTCTGCCGCGCGTCTGGTGAATTCCCTTCAGTATTTGGTCTCTGGATGGAAAAGTCCAGCAACAGGCAGCATCCTATCAGGCTCTCTTCTTTGATGGGGTCTCATAAATGGAGCCAGGTTCTGGCAGACAGGGCACAGCCATATGGGCTGTCACAATGCCCGGCAAGCATCCGTGGAGCTAGGTCCTCTCAGGTGCTTGGCTACTGGCAGAGATCTGGCATGGACCCTGCACTGAGGAGGAGGGTCCCACCTGGGGGATGCTGTGGGCTAGGTTGCACCCCCAAATCCATATGCTGAGCCTTAACTCTTATTGCAACTATATTTGGGGATAGGGCTTATAGGAGGTGATTCATGTTACATGAGGTCATGACGATGAGCCTAAATACAGTAAATATGTCCTTGTAAAAAGAGGAAGAGACAGAGAAAGATTTTCACCTTGTGAAGACAGTGGTCTAACAGAAATGAAGAGAGTCTTCATCAGAAATAGAAGCTGCCAGAGCCTTGACCTTGGACTTCTCAGCCACATAACACCAATAAAATAAACTCTTGTTGTGTGTGCTACCCTGTCTGTGATGTTTGTTATAGCAGCTGAAGCTAACTGATTCTGTCAAATGATAAGGGGCCAGACTGAAGAAGCATGGAATGCTTTCCCCATGTCCATCCATCACCTCTTTCCAGCTCCTTTGGCTTAAGTTCCACCCTCCAGGTGGCCTCGGCTTGTTCCTGGGAGGAGGGGGATGGGGACAGGCAGGTAATGAAACTTGGCTGAAATGAATGAGATGTCCTTTACATCTGCGGTGAATTCTCTGTGACTTCCAGGATGAGTCCTACTTTCTTTTTAAATTTTATCCATGAATTTTTAAATGTGTATCTCTAAAACATAAAAATTCTTAAAAAATAACCACGATGATCACATCTCTCAAAATTAACTGAATTCCACAGTATCATCAACTTTCTAGTATCTGGTGTCCGCATTTCTGTTTCACAAATGCATGAATAGGTGCCTTTAGATTCTTACAAACTTGTTGACTTGAATTGGGACACAGACAAGGCCCATCTAGGGCTCTTGCTTGCCATGTGCGTAAGTGTCTTTAGGATCCTATCTCGGCATCTTACTTCCTTGAACTGCTGCTGTTGAGGAAACTGAGGGATCTGTCTCAGAGCTTCCCGGTGTGGATGTGCTCATTGATCCCCATGGAATCTTAACGTACTGCTCTCTCCTCTGTAGTCTCCTGAAAATGGGAAGTTGGGTCTGGGGATGTGGTCACAGTCAGGATGATTGTTCTGAGGACTGCTTCATAAATGGTTTATGTCCTTCCACCTGGAGGAACACGGTATCTAGTCATTTCCCTGCTGTGACTAACAGGTAGACCCTTCTGTTCAGTCAGGATGATATTCTATCCACTTAGTTCATCTCGACCACTTCTACAAAGAGAAACCTCTCTGTCTTGGTCAGCTTAGGCTGCTAGGGCAACAATACCAGAGGGTGGGTGGTTTATAAACGAGGGAAAGTCCTTTCTCCCAGTTCTAGAGGCTGGGAGGTCCTCCCTCCAGGCGACAGCAGCTTCGGTGTCTGTTGAGGGCTGCTTCCTGCTTCACACGCAGATGAGCCTTTCCTGGTGGCGAATCCTCCTAAGGCAGAGGGGCTAGGGAGCTCTCTGGGACCCTGTTAGGAGAAGTGCCACTGACATCCGTGAGCTCTCAGCCTCCCGCCACATCCCCTGCCAAAGACTGTCGCCAGGGAGGTCCGAGAGTCTAGAGATGGATGGGGCGGGGGAGAAAGAGCTCCAGTTTGTATCCATTAGTCTGAGCCTCCCCTCGCCCACCACCTCGTTGCCCAGTGGTACAGTAAATAAATAAGTAAAGAGTTAAGCCATGAATCGGAACCAGGACCAGGGAGAACTGGGATTCGGCGCACAGGGGCAGGGGCTGTGTTCATGGGGGGTGGTGGGTAACTTGGTCGTGTTAACAAGCAGGAAGGTGACCAGAGGTGAGGGGAGGGTGCCGGCCGAGGTCTGGGGAAACTGACTCTCCCAAGCTCCGTGGTGCACAGTGATGTCATCAGGTTCCATCCGAACTCCAAAGGCCTTCCAACAAAAAGGCCCAAAACCCCCCCCTCCCAACTGCAAAAACCCCGCAACCCCCGAAAGAAAAAACCAATCCCAATCCCCGTAAGGAATAATTAAAACCTGGAGGCCTTGGCCCGAATTAAAAACAACGGGCAAAATTCAACCTTCCTTTTTTTCCAGGAACCCTCTGTTGCTGTTATCGATTCTCTTCGCTGTGATTTCTTCAATTGTTTTTCTAAATTAATTTCTCTATCTTAATTCCTGCTGTTTCCCTTTCGGGGAGGCCTGTTTGGCTCTCATGACAGATGCTGACCTCATTAATTCTCAGTCACTCTTCTCATCTAGGGTCCACATTAGAGTTGATATTTTCCTTTATGAAAAGTGTTAACTGCCTTCCACAAGCAGCCGCTACCGGCCAACTCCCTTCAGTTCAAAATATTATTTAATTTCAGTTATGGCTCCTTCTTTGATTTATGTGTTATATTGAGATCTATTTTTTAATTTATAGAATTATGTTTTTTCCACTTATTGTTATTATGGATTTTCGGTTTCATTACATTGTAACTGAACCACGATTTGTAAAATTTCTTTTCTTCACCATTTATCAGGACTGGCAGTAAGGCCTAATATGATGACCTTCTGTTTGATGATCCTTTGCTGTCCGTGTTTTGTGTGCACTAGGGAAAGAGTCAGTGGACAGTTTTATCTCCATGCTCATTAGGGCCAAGATTGCTAGTTATGCTATGAAAAGCTTCTATAGCTTATTCAATTCTTATATGCTAGATTTATCACTCACCCAGAGGTGTTTATTAAAACCTGCTGCTGTGAGCTGCTGTCTCATTGTTATGTTTTCTGTGTTTTGAGACTGGGTGCTTAAGTTATAGTGCCTAAAATATATTGCCTTTTAATTTAAAATTTTAGTTCATTTACAATAAATGTACTTGGTAATATATTTTGACTTTTGTTAACCATATTATTCTGTGCTTTATATTTATCTGTCCAACTCATTCTACATTTTCTTTTACATCTTTACATCATAGACACTGAGCTATACAAAATCAAGAAACTTAGAACAACTTGAACTCCTTTTACCCCATGTCCAGCTTACATTTGATCATAAACACATGTTAAACCCACCTTGAGATCCTTCTGTACTATTTGATGTGCCCTTTGTTTCATCTCACATCTCAGATTTTCCACCTGGGATTACTTTCCATTTTCCTCAGTTTTATCTTTTGTGATTTCTTTTAGTGAGCACCTACTTAAGGCAAACTCTCTCAGTTTTACTCAGAAAAGTACTTTCTCACTAATATGCACTTATGATTTTATGTCACCTTCATTCTTGATATTTTCATTGGGTAGAAAATTCTGTTCGTCTGTTTTTGTTTGTTTGTTTCTGTTTAGTTTCAATGCACTGAAGACACCATTTTACTGCCTTCCAGCTTCTCCTATTTCTGATAGAAAGGTTGCTGTCTGTGAGGCTGGTTGGCTCCCAGGGAATGATAGCTCCTGAATTCATCACAGGTGAAGAGACCAACCTCACCATCCCAGACGTTAGAGCTGAGTTCCACTTCCAGCCAACTACTTGAATAGTCAAGTAAGGGATCATGGGCAAAACCAGCAGAAGAATCTTTTAACCAACCTACAGAATCATAAAAACAGTAATAAATCATTGTTATTTAAGCCACTAAGTTTTAGGGAGATTAGTTATACAGCAACATATAATATAAAGAGTAATTGGAACCCAGGATCGTTACCATAACAGAAAGCTAGAACAGGTGGGATCAACTTTGAAAGTGGGCCATGAGTAGAGGCTGAGAACCTCCAGGGTTTTGATAAAGCCTTGAGTTATGGTGAGCAAACTAAATAGAGGCTGGAAATGCGGGGGGGGGAAGCTTTTCATCAAAAACCATTAAAAAGGTAGTCATTTTTGTGTAGAGTGAAGCGATTGTGTCTTATTTCATGTGGGCCACTCTCACCAAATATCATTAACTAAATAGCTTATAAGCAAAAGAAATTTATTTTTCACAGTTCTGGAGCCTGGGGAGTTCAAGGTCAAGGTGCTGGCAGGTTCGGTGTCCTCATTCCTAGATGGCTGTCTTCCCACCGTGTCTTCATGTGAGGGAAGGAGTGAGAAGGTTCTCTGCAGTCTCTTTTATTTTTTCCCACATTTTTAAATGGGTGCATTATGGTTGTAGGTAACGATGGCACTTGCTGTTACACATTCAGACCTGCACGCAAAATGACAATATAAATCCACCAATATCACTCCCCGGCTCTTCCCTCGTCCTACCTGCCTCTCACCCCGACCCCTATCCTCCGCTTTACTGATGTCCCTTTGATTTTCATGAGATCCACTCCCACCTTTCTTTTCTTCTTTCCTCTGTAACTTCCTCAAATGAGAGAAGACGTTTGTTCCTTGACCTTCTGAGTTTGGCTTATCTTGCTTAACACAAGGGTCTCTCGTTCCATCCATTTTCCTGAAATGAAAACAATCCCGTTTTTCTTTGTGGCTGAATGAAACTCCACGGTGTCTATACACCACGTTTTCTTTATTCATTCATCCACTGATGGACTCCTAGGCTGGCTCCGTAGTTTGCTATTGTGAATCGTGCTGCTATCGACTTGGGTGTGCCTGCATCACTCTAGTGAGATGACTTTGATCCTTCAGGATAAATATCCAGGATTGGTATAACCAGTCCTATGGTGGTTCTATGCCTACTATTTCCAGGAGCCACCATACTGATTTCCACAGTGGTTGTGCTAATTTACAGTCCCACCAACAGTGTAAAATTCTTCCTTTTTCTCCACAACCCCTCCAGCATTTTTGTGTGTGTGTGTGTGTGTGTGTGTGTGTGTGTGTGTGTGTGTGTGTGCTGGGGCGGCAGGGGTGGGTAACAAGAATTGAACCCAGGGGCACACAACCACTGAGTCACATCCCTTTTTTTCAATTTTTATTTAGAGACGGGGGTCTCACTAAGTTGCTGAGACTAGCTTTGAACTCGTGATCCTCCTGCCTCAGCCTCCCAAGCTGCTGGAATTACAGGTGTGCCCTACTGCGCCTGGCTTTATTTGTATTCTCGATGACACTGAAATCTCACTCTAGTCCCACTCACAAGGGCAACCCTCTTATGACCTAATCACCCAGCAAAGGCCCCACCTCTAATTCCTTCAGGCTGTGAGCTGGGATTTCAATTTATGAATTCCAGGGAGGTGGGGGGGGGACACAAACATTCAACCCTAACTTATTGGCAGTAGTGTTGCTTGTGGTAACTTGGAAGAGAAAAAATATGTGCCTCATTTATGCCCAGGCACACTTACAGCTGTAGCTGAGGTGTCCACACAGAGAGCTGAAAGTGTCAGCGGGCCTCTCTAAGGATAAGATACTGTAACCCGTGGCCGGAGAGATGAGCTGGAAGAGTCTGTGCTGTTTGAAAGTAGGATTTAGAGGAAATCTAGAGTGTTCAGGACCTGTTGGGTCATAAAATAAACTTTTTTCTCACTCGTGTTCTTATGGTTGGGATAGCGGCCTCCTAACCCAGAGGGCCCAAGTGTTCAAGTCTTGGCCCCCTGAGCGGTGCTACTGGGAAGAGGAGGAACTTTAGGGAGGTGGACCTAGTGGGAGGCCCCTGGGTAACTGGAGGCAGCCAGTGGAGGGACTGTGGGGCCTTGGCCCCTTCCTCTCTCTCTTTTGCTTCCTGGGTCATGAGGTGAGCAGCTTTGCTTTGCTCTGTGTTCCCCACCCTTGCCATCCGGCACCCCCACCAGAAGCCTAAAAGCCATGGGGTTGCCCAGTCGTGACCTGTAACCTCTAAAACCATGATCCAAAATAAACCTGTTCTCTTTACAAGTTAACCATCTTGTGTGTTTGGTTATCATGGAGGAAAACTGACTCACACAGCCTCTCCAGCCAGCACAAAACTCCTAAGATAATGGCCTTAAAGTAAAACCCAAGTGTAGCTGTAAACTTCTTTATTTAGGCCTTGGAAAGATTTTAGGCAGTGCTTAATACATCTCCGAGCTAGACAAATGGGCATCCATGAATCTTCAGGTGGTGAATCACGCAGTAGCCTGATATGCCCAATAGGGAAAGGTCTGCCTTGGCTTCTTGGGGCCTTATGGCTCTAGAGCCTGGAGTAAATGTCACCTAAATTCATAAGAAACCAATAATGTTTTTAAAGGAAGATGTACCTGGTTGGGCTAAAAGGGGTAAAGAATAGCTCAAAACGCAAGGAAGTCTCTGGGCCCCCAACTATCTACAAGCTAAGAATGTCCCTTAGCTGAGAACACTAGACAAGCCCCACAACAAAATGAGAGAGGGACGAGGGTAGAGAGCTGCAGAGACCAGTGCTGTGACACTACAGTCCAACATGAAGCAGTGTCAGTCTCCGCACCCGGTTCCTGTTGCAAACTGAATGGTGCCGGCAGGACCCTGCCGCCCCAAGATAGGGGCTAATCACCAGAAAATCAAAGCTGGGCAGGATGAGATGGTTGGCACTTACAGTCCAACCTCCAGGGAGGGACGTTTGACCCCCAGTGGCCAATTATTCCACTAATCATGCTTATGTAAAAAAGCCTCCATAAAAACCAAAAAGCCAGAAAGCTGAACAAGTGGACGGTCCTGGGGGACAGTCCCTCATGCCTCGCCCTGTGCATGTCCTCCATCCGGCTTTCCATCCATACCCTTTATAGGGATAAAGTGTTTCCCTGAATGCTGTGAGCTCCTCTAGCAAAGTTAATCAGATCCTAGGAGACCCAACTTAACCGCTGATCCATCTGCAGCAGGTTACCTTTAGTAACTGGCATCTGGAATGATGGTGGTTGTGGGACTGAGCCCCTAACCTATGGTATCTGATGCTACCTCCAGGTAGAGGGGATCAGAATTGCATTCAAGTGGAAGACCACCAATCGGTATCCATGGAAGAGCGTAGTACCCAGGGTGTGGGAGAAAAATCACTCCACACGTCTGGTGTCTCAAGTGTGGTGTTGAGTGGTGTGTGAGCACAGGAAGAGCAGCTGGCTGGTTAATAGACACACAACTTTTTAGCTCACAGGTCCCTAAGTAAAGAAGGAGTTACCCCCATGAGGGTTGACAACTAAGGAGTCTCACCTGCATCCAGACCTGGTGCAGATCACAAGATAATGGACTTAGAGTCTGATTGTGCTGTTGGGTGATACTCAGATCCTATAAACTAGGTTTTCTGTAAGGGAGGGAACTGACTCATGGGCCAGACTGTGGTCGATTGGGGATCGTGCTTCCTGATGTCCCACCACGGTGATCCTCTCCCACAATGACCCTGGGCTTACTTGGGTGAGGGTGGGAACCAAAAATGTGATACAAACCATGGCGACCTGAACATCTATGTCCTATTTTTCTTCCTGAAATGCGGCTGCTGCCAGGTGAGGAAACCTGGTCTATTGTCTTTGAGGATGAAAAATCTCATGGAGGGAGAGATCAAGCCGTCCCTGGCGTTCCACTTAGGCAGCCCGTAGTTAGCTCACCAGAAGACTCAGAACCCAGCTGTGTGAGTGACAGCTGTGTGAGTGAGCCTGCACAAGACCAGTACGAGAATGGCCTAACCAGCACACAAGAGGGTGATAGATGGTAAGTCGACGTTTTGGAATCATTGGCTTCACCACAGTGGAGAGTGGAAACAAAGGCGGCCTATCCTTTTTCTCTGGCCACTTGTGGGATTTTCTCTTGTCTTTGCCTCTGTCCTTCTGTCTGTTCTTCATACTGTATCTGGCCCTTGTTTTCTTCCTGCCTCTTCTGTTTCATGTTCATCCACTTCCTTGAACTCACAAAAAATGTGCCTCTAATTATTCCTGAAGAAATCGTAGCTATCCTCTCTTCCAGTTTGGCCTGTGCTGGTTTTTTCCTCTGTTCTCCCCACAGAACTTCCATTCTCACTCTGTCCCTCGACTCATCTTCTCCACCCAGTCTCCCATCTTTTCCATCTCTGACTCTTGTCTGTGCTCTGGATAATTCTCCATATAAACATACATATCTTACACTTGGTCATCGGCGTTGTTGAACTTGATTTAAAACTCACCCCCGGAGTGCTCCAGTTTAATTATCATGTTTGAGTTCTAGAATTTCTACTTGCTTCTTTTCCCAAGCTACTAGGTCATTTTTACAGCTTCTGCTTATTTTCAGACTCAGTCTTGTCTTTGTTCTATTAACCATAATAGGCAGAGTTTTAATTTAAAGGGTGAGTAATAGGCCGGGCAGGCATGGTGGTCCACACCTGTAATCCCACAGCTCTGGATGCTGAGGCAGGAAGTTCCTAGGTTCAAAGCCAGCCTCAGCAACTTAACGAGACCTGTCTCTAAATAAATTATAAAAAAGGGCTGGGGTCAGGGCTCAGTGATTAAGTGCCCCTGGGTTCAATCCCAGGTACCAAAACATAAAACAGTGAGTAGGTGAGAAATGGCTCTATATTTTGCAGGCCTTGAAGGTCTCTCCAGCTGCTGCTTTTCCCATTCACGAGGACTTGCTTATCTCTGACTACTTGCTCACGTTGCCTTTGAGACATTATTTTGGGGAATTTTATTGGAGTTTTTAAAGCTATGGTAAAATGTATAAAATGTCATTTTAACCATTTGTAAGTGAATGTGGCATTAAATGCCACGTTAAAAGACACTAAATACATGCATTTAATATGTCATTAAATGCACTCTGAGGGTAACCTTTCCCCCATCTATTTCCAAAACACTTTCCTTCTTCCCTTTGGAATCTCTCTCCCCTTCAAGCCACCGCACCCCCAGCTCCTGGTAATTTCCTTCCACTTTCCGTCCCTGTGAATTTTCCTCTTCTAGGTCCCTGGTGTAAGGAGCATCATACAGAGATTGTCCCTGTGTGTCTGGGTTACCTCAAGGTCCCTCTGTGCCGTGGCATCTGTCGTGGGAATTGGTTGGTGCCAAGGGGAAGGCTCTGTCCTCCTGAGAGGACTGGCGTCGGCTTATGTGGGCACCTCAGGCACTACCAACGTGGGGCTGCTTTTAAATTAAACCACGATTTTAGTTTTTGTCGTCTCATTCAGGAAACATCAAACTGACCAGGAAATTCTCAGAGGCACTAGCTGCTGGGTGCAGCTCCTTGGAAATGGTGGGGGTCTCCTCTGACTCTGACCAGCCCCAGCATCTTTAGGGAGGTGTCTCGTAGGCGGGGGCTACTGTGACAAGCACTGAGTCCTGGGGGCTCAGGCCACCTCCATTCTCTCACGGTGCCGGAGGTGGAAGGCCAGACGGCTGGCAGCGGGGGTCCCCCAGGTCTCTCTCCTCCGGGGGCACATGGCCATCCTGCTGCTGCCTCTCAGCCCGCGGTGGCTCTGTGCACTAGTGCCCTTGATGTCTCTTCTCCGTGTCCCAGTCTCCTCTTCTCAGGAGGACAGAATCATTGTATCGGAACACGCCCTAATGGCCTCATTCTCACTAATTCCCTGTGGACGTCCCGATCTGAGGTCTTAGGGGCAGAGCT